ATTTCCGACCCGGACAATTTTAGGGGTCTACAGCAGGTTCATCAACAAAAAATATGAGTTCAGAAAGCAAAAAAAATAAACTGTTATTACAGATAAGCCTAAGCAGTAGTATTCTCGCTCGAGCTATCAAGAAGGTCGTCTTCATTCACCAGCAATCCACGTCGCACATCCTTCTCTATGTGCATAGCAGAGAGGTCGACCCCTAGTGCCAACACCCTAGCCTGACGAGTTTCCTTGGCAAACCCCCTCTTGTGCTCCACCAAGAGAGCCCTCTCAGTCTCAACGAGCTTCTTCTCTAAGCCTGCTTTCGCCGCGACCATCGCATCAAGGTCAGCCTTCAAGGCACTGACCTCCTCCTCTTTGCCGACCAGAAGCACCTTGTCACAGAGACGTCTCTCAACTGCTTCCCCCAGCTTAGCCCTCAACGCCTTGGCCTCCTCCTCCAAAGAGCGCGCTCAGCCCCGAGAAATTTCGGCCTCCCCCCTACAAGATTTGGTGACCTCCTGCAGCTCACCAACTTGGGCAGCATAAACCTCATTGGCCCTCAGAGCAATCTCCAAAGACTTCTGAGTCCTTGAAAGATCCCTCCTCGAAGCTTGAAGCTCAGCCTCAGCCTTCTTTGCAGCCTCCAGCGCGGCCCTCAAGGCCCGGTTCTCCTCCTCCAAAGGCCGAACTCGGCTCGGAGCACTCTCAAGCTCTCCTTGCAGCTTTGGCCACTTGCGCCTCCAGTGGTCCACGATGGCAATAGACCTATCCATAAAGACCTCTGCAAAGTCTAGGCCCTCCACTGGACCAACCTTCTCGATCATCGTCTTGTCAGCCGCAAGGACTGAATCCCCCTTGTAGAAGGCATCGGCGGTTACCTTGGAACTCTACATCGAGTCTACGTCCGGTGACACGCTCACGTGATCTAACCTCGCCAGGGGGCAATTAACGTCAAAGCGCTGAATAATGCACTTCCCCCTTGGAACACCTCGAGGAGGAGGAGGCGGCGTAGCGGCCGGAGGAGTTGGCGTCGGCGCTCCAGAGCTCGACCCCTTCCCGCAAGCCTCAGAAAGAGTGGGCGTAGGACCCGCCTGCGCAACGGCAGGGGAGCTCAGCATTCGCACCTCAGAGCTTGGCTTCGCGCAAGCCTCGGCGGAAGTTAGCACAGGCCCCGCCTACACAAAACACCAAAAAATTTCTAAGTTACAAAATAGGAAAATCATGCAATGTAGAAGAAAAATCATAAGGGAAAGACACAAACCTATGTCTCATGAGCGACCTCTTCCACGACCACTCTAGACGACCCCTTAGGCGGAGGACTCTCGATGAGATCGACCAGGTTGGCGTCGGCGGCCTTCGAGGTCACCTCTTCAGCATCGCGAGGGGACGAGGTCTCCCCGACCCTCTTTTATCCCCTTTTTCTTTTTCGGCGAGTCTCCAGGGAGCGACCTCCTCCTTGCTGGGCTCAGGAACCTCGAGCTCCTCCGTATTGTAACGAGCTTTCAACTCGCACCATTTGCTTTTCCCCATTATACCTGCAAACAGGAAGGGCCCAACACATAAGAAGGCGAATAGAAACATAGAATCTAATAACTAAGGATGACAAGGTACTCACTCTCCAAACTCTTCTCCTTATTCACCAAGTTAGCAAGCGACAGGACGAGCTTGCAATCCAAGGGACGAGAGAGTGAGGCTAAGTCGGCAATGGCAGTAGTATCCGAATCTGACAACTGAAGGCTACTCGACCCATTGAACTTGATCGGATTCTACTGCTAGAAGAGGGGGAACCTCGGCAACCTGCCGAAGTGGAAGACTTCATCGACCAGTAGGTTGGCCTTAACAGGCCAAACTTGGAAGAACTCCTTTTTGAAGCTCTTGTATGACTGGGAATAAAGCTAGAATAAACCCCCAGCCTTTCTCCCATTCAAAGACACCCAACCGAGGGGAGGTTCACCTAGTTTAAGCTGGTAAAAATGGAGGAAAACGGGCAACAACAACCCTATCCCCAGGGCTGAGCACAAAACTTGGAAAGCCCTCAAAAAATCCCAACTATTGGGGTGCAGCTGGTAGGGGGCCACATTGATAAAATTCAAAAAATCACATTCAAACTGAGAAAAGGGAAAACACACACCCAGATCTCAGAAAAAGCATTAGTACATATAGAAAAAGGGGGTATTCGGAGTACCCCCCATATACACACGCTCACCGGGCTGACAGGGCTCAACCCGGATGAGCTTGGAAATGGACGACTGACAGATCCTGTGCGATTTCCACATCGCATTCACCTCAAGGAACGACTTGAACACACTCTGAAACTCTCCGACGTCCCCCCTAACCCACTCATACCTAGGAACGGAGATGGCAGGGTGTGAGTCTTTGGGGTTGTTACCCCCCTTCTTACCCTTGGGCTCACCACCAGCGGCGGCCATTTTTGCCTTACCCTTCCCCTTGGCCTGCCTAGCGGCGGCCTTAGGGGGAATAGAACCATAACTACCTTCACCGGCCATTCTCCCAGTAAGACCAAACGAAGAAGAAACGAAGAAGAAGGAAGAAGGAGACTTGCAGAACGGAGAAGAAGACAGATTAGGCGAAGTACCTGGTACTCCTTTGATAGTGATAGAACAGTGGCGAAGGACGGGGACCTGATTTCCGGAAACGGCGACGACAGAGAAGAGCGAAGACAAGGAGGGTAGAAGACGGAGATAGGCGTTGAGGAAGCACTGGTGTGCAAGGGAAGCCAAAGAGATGAAAGTGAAAAGTGTGCGAAGAGGAGAGGGAAAAGTGTTTTGCAAAATTGAAAATGGAAGTTACATGTGGCAGAAAACAACAAAACTGACGAGGCATTAAATGAAGTCATAATGACAGGTACACCTCATCATTACAAAACCGTCACCCCCCATTAACACACCGCCCACGCGTTCCGGGAAACGAGGTTACGGTTATGACACATGACGTTATGCCAAGGAAGCGTACACGAAGAGACGTGACCCTTCATTGAGCTCGACATTAACTCCTCGACCCACGGTCTTCGGAGCTCGGGGGGCTAGTATACTATCTGCACTGCGAAACGGAACTTAAGCTCGGTACTGAAGCGCTAGATGACATCGGATGAGCGCTACGAGACATCGGCTAAAACAAAGGCCCACTATCTGAACGGATCACAACCAACCTCGGGCCCAAGGCCTAGATAAACCCTAATTCACGCTAAGGTACGTGCATTACATATACGAGACCCATACACTCACAAAGACTAACTTTAGCATTGGAGTCTCTTTTGCAGGTACCACCCCCACTTCAGAACAGCTAACGTACCTAGCGAACGAGGCTCACCAATCTTGCCCAGCAGATTGTCCCTCACGACCAATCTCCGGTAAGAACAAAGGTAATATAAAATCAACCTTGATTACAAGTGATTGATTTGTTGCATATACTTTGATATTCTGCTACGTCAGTAATAAACCTTGTAATCTATTGTTATTTGTTACTCAAATTGTATAAAGGTTGTATTTTAGATTTTTTGATAGGTTGTTTTTCAATAATTGTGGAAAAGTGAGTTATCTTAAGATAAAATCTATTCAACCCCCTTCTAGATTCTTGTACACTGAGATCAACACAGACAAGACATAGCTCGTCCTCAGCAGCTTGAACATTCCTTTTGGCCAACCCTACCTTTGTTGGAATCCGATTTTGAACTACCCCAATACTTGTCAAAGAAAAATATAGAAACTCAAAAGTCAACTAATCCAATATGATCCTTCCAAAAAGAAATATTAACCTAATATAACTTCATTTTGGTTAAGCTTGTTCAACTCAGGTTAGTTGGAAAATATTATAAACTTAATTATAGAAATTCAGACTTTATTTTTTACCAAATCAAACCAAACCTCAACGACACTGAATCCTATTACAAAACCAATTGATTGTTCGTATGGAAAAAGTTTTTAATCATGAAATTTGGACCAGTCTTTGGTTAGAACGGGGCTATGAACGCTACCAAGGTGTACAAAACAAACTCATTGATACTACACAAGAGCAGACCAAAAAATTAAAAACCATGTGATTATTTCATTAGCCAAAACTACAAATCATACTATGCACTCGAAACAACAGTACAAACCACACTAAGTTAAAGTCACAACTGCAACCACGTTTGTAAGATATACTAATTCCACACTACACATACTCTTGAAAAGAAAGTGGGTAGCTTTATGCTACGGAGAACATTTACTAATATGCCTCCCTCTTTTAACACAAACCTTAAATCAAAGACAGCAAGGCAGATTATTATGGAGCAAGTTATGTTCATGGGATGGGATAGATGACTATTTTGCCGGTTGCTCTGTTTGTTTCCAGATGGGAAAATGCTTCAACAGCCTGAGAGAATGGAAAGGGGCTCTTGGGGTCAAGTACTGGCTTCAACTTCCCACTCTCAAAATGAGGGTTTAGTTTCTCTAAGATAGCCCCATCAGTGCTGAGTATGAAAAGGATAGCTGATGCAAATCCAGGTGGTACTATTGTCACAACTTTGCCTCCTTCTTTCAAAGCCTTGAATGCCTGTTCAGTTTGTCCTGTTTTTGATTTTAGGAAAACAAGTATTAGTGTTCTACAAGATGTGTGACCAACCTCATAAACTTCTCACAGAAGAATGTGTGATCAAAATCTTACCTACTGTATCGTACACCACATCAAACTTTTCAGGCAGGTCTTCAAAATTCTCTTTTGTGTAATCAATGGGCAAGTCAGCCCCCAAATTCCTCAATAATTCCAGTTTCCTGGTGCTAGCTGTCGCTGCTACCTTGGAGGCTCCATAAACATGCTTGGCAAGCTATGTCAACAAGGCATTATTAATTATAATCACTTAACATGAAATATTGACTTTTGAGATGTTTCCTGAATTCAATCTGTAGAGATTTTAAGTTATTCGATCCCTAGAGAGAGGAGTTCATAGTTAATATAGGGACAAAACTTACATGCAATACCACAGGTATTGTTGGTATGATTCCTAATCAGAATTGAAATTTAACTTTGGTAATATTTATGATAAATGATTTCACCAAATGTCCTCGTATATTATAAATAAAACTCAAATTCTGATTGAAGAACAATACCTAAAGTATTGATGGTACTGAATCTTAGTTTTGTCCTTAACAGTTACATGGAAACAGGAAATGTAAATAATAATAAAAAAAAAATATAATAGTAACTTTATATTAAGGTGAGCCTTGGCTAAGATCCTCTTCACTTGCGGGCTAAGGTTGTTTACATCTATCCTCCACAATCACCACCGAGTAGAATCCTCGCCCAAATAATATAACAATATGTGAAAAGATAAGTACCCGTGCGGTGCTGTGAGTGTTGATTGAATTCAAACCATGTTGCAGAGATAATGTGACTTTTTGAATCACTACAAACAGCAACGTTGAGTATTGATTGGGGAAAAACAAATGCTAGGGAATTTTACTTATTGTGAATATGGTCAATATGATCATTTGTAATATGAACTTAATCAACCATAATGGAACAGAAAAAAGATCAACTATCACCACAAGGATATCTTAATAGATCTGAAAAAAGCATATCTTAGTAGAAGCTCATAGTGATACCTGAATGACATGGGTTCCAACTCCACCAGCACCTCCAAGCACAAGGATAGATTTGCCTGCAGAAAACTCAGTTCGTTCAAGGCCTTCATAAGCAGTCTCAAGTGTTAAAGGAAGGCTAGCAGCCTCAGCAAAGCTCAGACTCTGTGGCTTTTGTGGCCATAATGTCTCT